CAATTAACAAACGGAGACGTAACAATATTTTTATAACCTATAATATATCATACTTCTTTCATATCCAGGATTACATGATAGCGTTTAATTTACCATAATTAACGATTTTCCATGTAATGCATCATTAATAGCAATTCCAGTTAACGATATATATATATCTATATGTTACTGCGTGACAATCATGTAATTATATAGTGTAAGGATGTTTTTCTATGTTCAGTTGTCAACTACAGGACTCTCAAACACAAGGTAATAAAGCTGGACTCTAAAATTCATGAATCCATTTAGTTGCTTCTTATATACTGTTATAAAATCTGAGATTTTACACTGACTTTTACACTTTTTTACACTTGGATTTGTTAAGGTGTTACTAAGATAAACGTTCATATGAAAACGCTTACAATGTTAATTGGAACAAATTATGTTGTTGTTTATTATTAAGCACAAAGGGCTATATGTGCTCTGCCCACCACGGGTATCGAATCCCGGTTTCTAGCGTTGTAAGTCCACAGACATACCGCTGTGCCACTGGGGGGCAAATGTTATTCTATTGTGAAATAGTCATAAAATTAGTATTCTAAAGTTATATAAAAGAAAAGGTATAGATTCTATTCAAACACCAATCTTTTGACAGACAAAGTGGGGAAGTTAGGGATTTTATTTTCCGTTTAAAGTCGTGACGTTTTAGTCTGTTATGTTATCATAAGCCGGATCAAGTGATATGCCACTCTTATCCCTATCTTGTTTGGTTCCTTTGTTTACGTCCAGTAGCCAACCCTACATAGGTTTATTATTTAGCGATAAATTGCGTTCCTAATACTTGTCATAAACATCTGTAAACAAAAACAACAAGTAAGTGCATTATTTTTTTAAACTTCGCATAAAACTATACAAGGGGCTATATGCACTAGCTGTCCCGAATTTTGAGGTGATAGACTAAAGAGATGTCAGCTAGTCAATGCCACCCACCGCCAACTATAGAGGTACTATTGTCAGACCGAATAGTAGGATTTGACCGTCACTCTCGTAACGAATCCATGAAAAGTTCAGAGCGCATTTTTGTGGAGGGGGCGTGACGGTAATGGGCATGAACCACAGATCCACAGCCCTGCTCGGTAACGACTGGATTGAGCTCGGCCGTTCAGTAAATGAAGAAGCCTGACTATAAGGGTCGTTGATGTGTCATCTTAAATGTCCATGAATGAAGAAACACGTATCACAATGGTCGATATTGTATCATCTTAAATGTCCATAAATGAAGAAACACATTTCAAAGATCTTTGATATATCATATTAATTGTTTTTAAATGAAGAAATATGCATTTTAAGGGTCATCAATGTATCAGTAAATGAAAAAAAAACAAAAAAAACGTATTATGAAGCCACGTATTCTTTTATCACAAATGACAGGAAAATAAGGTAAATACACCTTACGAGGTCAATTTAGGAAGCAATATTTATTCATAGAGATTATTCTTAAATTAGTGCTGAGGTAAGTACGTTATAGTGATTATTATTTGAAGTTTAACATATAGATTTCGATAGTACGAATTTCCTTTTCTTGGCGGCTTAAAAAATGTCTAAAGGTCACACGTTTGATGTCTAATATCGATTACCGAATATTTTCGAAACATTAACGGCTCTCGAGGGCAATTTGTAAAGGAATGGTTAAGACATATTAGCACTGAAACGGATCAGTATGATACTTTGCTCTAATATATATTTTAAATAGTTACTGCCGAAACTCACCAAAAATAACTTTAACCACCTGACTACATTTTTTACATGTTCTAGACTTTATACTACTTTTGCTCCGATCATTTGTTTGTTTTCTTGTACAGGATTCAATGACAAAAAACGTATTATGACGTTTGAGCTGCAAAGTTTCTGAATGTGCGAATGTGTCAGGGTCTAAACGTAGAGACTGGACGTGCATGAGAAACGCAAAGTTTTGTTTGTTTGGTTGCTGTTAAACGCAAGGATATGTACAATGTGCTATATGTACTCTGCTTACTGCGGATATCGAAACAATTTTTAGCTTCATAAGTTCTCAGAACGGGGGGGAGGAACGAAACGCAAGATACGTGTTTTCGTATATTGTCAGATAACTAGCAAAGCGATATTACTTTCGTAAGGAGCGAAGAAATAGTTAAAAACAACAACAACTCAGAGGGAATATTTTACAACTACAAGAGAAAAAAATGTATTTTCTTCATTTATGTAAGAATGAATTTACTCTGCTGTAGCCAGATCTGTATATATACAAGTGCAATTACAGATTATTAAAGATTATGATGTATTAATATGTGACGTGACGTCTTGTAATTTCACTCGATTGTCCAGACGTTTTCAAGACTACAATAACTACTGGGATTTTCTAGAATGTTTTTAAGCTAACAAAAGAAGTCGACAATTTTAAGTGATAAGTAATTATGGTTTGATGAAATTGTTTGTTTGTCTGTTTTTGAATTTCGCGCAAAGCTACACTAGGACTATCTGCGCTAGCCGTCCCCAATTTTGCAGTGTAAGACTAGAGGGAAGGCAGCTAGTCATCACCACCCACCGCCAACTCTTGGGCTACTCTTTTACCAACGAATAGTGGGATTGACCGTCACATTATAACGCCCCCACGGCTGAAAGGGCGAGCATGTTTGGTGGGACAGGGATTCGAACCCGCGACCCTCAGATTGCGAGTCGAGTGCCTTAACCACCTGGCCATGCCGGGCCATTTTGACGAAATAAAAGCAAACAAACTTTGTGTTGAGAATTTAGTATTATTTGTTTAATGAAAATGTATACGTTGTTGGTTTTGTGATATACATTTCACTACCGAAATATTTAGTAAGGTTTATTTGGAATTCAATACACGGTTTTATAGCTGAAATGTGCGATTCATTGAAACACAGAAGTCGAATGTTTCTGTATGTTTACAGTGAGTCAACGGTGAGTTTACTGTCTTACAGCGCCAAAATCCGTTGTTCGATTTCTTGTGATGTACAGGGCGCAGACAGCTTATTGGGTAGCTTTGCGAGCAAACACCTATCTGTATTGTTGCAGCACGAAAGTTTAGCATATTGTTACGCATTAATATTACACATATTTTCGTGTATAATATAATATAAAATAGCACATTGTTACTAATTACGTAGCACATACTTTATAAACGTAACTTATCAATGTAACAGATATAGTTATGACATCACACGTCTTTATACGTATAAGCTAACACATCTCTATATATTAAACATAATATATTTGGCATGATTGGCCGAGAACATATCACGTGCTGTGAAATATTTTTCAATGTTGCCTTGAAAGCTGGAAAACAGTGTTGCCCAGTTATCAAGGCAATTGTCATGTATGCGTTGGTTGCGTCGTAGCAGGACGTTACAAACGACAATTTATTTCAGTGAAACACACTGATTCATTTAGGCCTAATTACAAGTTGCTAAAACCTGTAAAATTGATCCGGGCATATCTTAAGACGTAAGATTAAGAGCTACAGAGTCGTTTAGGCAGCAGGGTACAATTTTTTTTTTTTTGCATTACATTGAAAACATGCTGATTTATTTAAGCGTAATTTACAAACAACATCGTAAATCTCGCCAGCATTCTTGGAATATTTTGCGCTGAAGTTAGACAGGCGCATACTTATTACGCTTATTGCTATGATCTAAAGATGGTGGGCTATTATATTCAGAAAATTAAAAAAATCTAAATCTTAATGATTTAAAACTGATTCTTAAAATGAGATCAAAATCCACAATGAAATATTTAACTTTAAGATCTAATGTAAGCTAAATATACAGAAGGGGGGAGTCAGAATAAAACAATTATTTACTGTTTATAAGGGCAACAAATGACCTGTTGTCCGAAATCATCAGCCAATAATTGTTCATTGTAGAACGTATATTATAATACAACTCATCATTTTATATGTATAACATAGCGTACTCGTATTCATATAACTCATCGTTAGTTATATGCATATAGTATAATCTATCAGCATACATGCGAGAGTAATATTAGTTTTTTTTCCTAAATATACATAAATTTCGTTCAATAAAAACCTGGATTTTTTTTTCTCTATGTTTTTAATGATTCTTCGTATCTTTAGTTCACCGATGTTAACTCAGAGTGAGAATAAAATGTCTTGAGTCTGACTTTTGGAAGACTGACTTAGTAAAGTATCAATAACTTCAAAAGGATCAAAACTTTGAGCAGCTGAAAATGTCTCTACGAGATAAGTTAAAATAATAAGGGTTTAAACATTTGGTGTGTCATTTGTTATGAAGTATTCCCTATAATTTTACAGCACATGATGTGAAACAACAGTATTATTATATAAGGAAAACCAAATTTCATTATGTTTTATTAAAGAGTGTTAGGCTATGCAAGGTAAGTAATTTGTAACACATGTAGGATATTCTAACACCTAAAAACTGAATTAAATGTCATTTTCCAACTTTTGTTTTCGAAGAAAACAATTATATTATAACAGACTAGTTTGTCCTGTGTAAAGGATTAAAAGGCGTATGAAGACACGAAAAGTGGAAAAATACTTAAGTCTAATAGATCAAAGCTTGTGTACTTGAAACTCATTTGAACCTAGTTTTATTTCAGTTAATATAGTAAATGAATAAATCTGTCACAAAGATTCATCTTCCATAGGTCCAGTTACCTGAACACCAGATTAGGCAGCTGTGTCAGGTTTCTAGAGAAATATTCCTTAATCAACCCATGCTTGTGGAACTAGAAGCCCCAGTAAACATCGTTGGTGACATACATGGTCAGTATGGTGACCTTTTGCGCCACTTCAATAAAATAGGTTATCCTCCTGAGGCTAACTACTTATTTCTTGGAGATTATGTAGACAGGTAAGATTCGTCAACTAGAAATGGAACATATTTTTTTTTGTTTTGTGCAAAACATGTTCAAAAGATTTAATCGTTTATTTTATTATGTACATAAGGTTAACCAGAACTGTTAATACTCTTCTTAGAATGTCACATTCAATAGGCAGTCTGTAGTTCTGCAATTTACATTGACATAACACTAAGAAGACGACACTTCCGCATCATTTGAGAATCTAGCATATATAAAGAATATTATACTTTGTACGTTTTCATAAATTATAACTACACAAATAAACGTGTACCTTATTTTTTCGTTGGATTACACTTTCGTAGACAATATTTTTCATATTATTTTTGTTTGATGTGCATTTATACGGAAGAGCGTGCTGCATTGGCCCGATCATAGGGCGATCTCGAATATAAGGCGACCCCATTTTCAGAAATCGTGGGAAAGAAAAAAAATTGAGTGTCATAGCTTCCTTTTTAGGTCCGCAAAATCAGTACTATAACTTAACAGCCTGCAGGTGAATTAGTTGCAAGAATTAGCGATGACTTTGAGCGAACATCTGGCGCGCATGCGTGGATGGATGTTATCTGGACATCCAGGAATGCGACAGGCTAGAGTAGGCGGAACGGGCCTGTGGTTGGCCGCGATTATAAGGTGACTATGAAATTTACAGCCTAATTATTAATCAAAAAAGCATCGCCTTATAATCGGACCAATACGGTATAAAGTGTTGTTAAGAAAGATTGGATTTAAATGTTTTCTCGAAGTAACAAGATTGTTTCAAAAATAAGATATCTTTGTACTTGTTCTTAGAATACCATATTACTAAAAAAAAATGTTACTCATTCTGGAATACCACATTCTTAAAAGGAAGGCGTCTTTGTACTTGTTCCTGGAATGCTACATTCTTTCTTAAGAAAGGGTGTATTTATGCATTATTCTTGATATATAACCATGATAAGGAAAGTGAATTTGGACTTTTTATTCAGGCACGGCGTTCTTTATGAAGAATGTATTTATAATTATTACACTCGCAGAAATTAAGGATCAATTAATAATATTAATCACAAGACTCGTAATAACCAGCATCTGATCATATTTACAGCAGGCAACGGAGATACTGGTCACATGGCATGCTAGTCATATGAAAAATTAACTATATGCATATTGCACTATAAAGTATTTATCTCAAAGACTTTGGTCAGTTGGTAATATTGTTGTTCAAAGACAGTTTTCCCCCTTAATCCTTGATGTCGGTGTAACAGTGATCAACTGTGCCACAGTGTAGGCATCCAAACGAAACAGATGTTGTAAGTGGCAATAGCAAGTATGAAGTTGGAGTTTATCAGCGCCAAGTGGTAATTTTACCTGGTTGTTTGCTAACGCGTAATCAGTATTTTCTAGAATCGTTATCCAGACGCTGGTAAAATCCAAAGAAGACTTGATGATAATCGATCCAGGATAACAACCACAAAACCAAGACTGAGATCTGACAACTACCTCTAGACGGCAAAGATTTTTTTTCTATCCAAAATCTTCTGGTATGATTTCAGCGGGTAAGTGGAGATAATGTCTGAAATGAAAGAGTTAGGAAAAACCTAAAAATGTCTGGTTTGTATGTCAGAAGACCATCCCTATATCCAACACTGATCGTAGGCCATTACATGAATCGACTGGTTTGGCTATGTGCATATACAGAAGTCAAGGGACTAGTGCAACTCTATGTTGTTCATATATGAGTCCAAGTTTCAGTTGTGCAACAGTAATGGGCTTATTAAATTGGAGATTGTTTGGGGAATTCTGCACAGAAGCATGCATTGCCAAACAAAGCTGCTTATGGGAGATGGGGTAGTAGTGGTGGGTCTGTCATGATGCAGGCTGACATAAACTAACTTGGCTATATGAACTCATACCCATCTATGAACATACAACTACTGGCCAGAGGTATAGAAAGTATTTCTGAATGTTATTGTGAAGCCATTTGTAGATGCAGTTGGGTCATATTTCATTCTGATGAGCAACAATATGAAACACACCGAGCAAGAGTGGCATTGGAATACCTCGAAGTATCTCAGCTGGCTTGAACCCAAATGAATGCACCTGGGACACGCTGCAGAGACATGCAACCACTTACCATACGAGCATGTCACTAGAAAGACATCATAATACGACAGTATATATTAAAACTTGGCGAATGGTTTGATCGTTTCACACTACAAATGAAACTGGCATTGTCATGTTTTTACAAAAGTGACATCAGCCCCTAAAAGCATATCCCTATATCACACTACTGCTCCTGGTACCTTGTCAATATGATGTTAAAATTATAAAGTCTATAAGCTCAAGTTTAGGATAAAAACAATAAAATTAAACACCTTTCTGAATAAAGATGGATGATCGATAGGTAAGTGAAGTTATTTAATTGCTAAATGATTATTAATTCGCCGTTTTTATATGAACTTATTATACGTATTTATCTGTGTCTCCACCAGTTTTATTAAAACGCACGTCTGAAACAGTCTGTTACAGTTGCTGTTTTCTTAGTTCAAAACTACACAATGAGCCACCTGCATGCACTTTGTCCAATGCGGAGACTCGAACCTCGCATTTGAGTGTAGTAGATCCGTAGTCTCACAGCTGACCAAACGGGGGATAAATCTGTAACATCACTAACCGATATAGGGTAACAAAGCGAGCGAATAAATGAATAATTATTATATCATCTTAATACAAACATATGATTAAAACAAAATATAAAGTATTTTTTGATATCATATAATTAACAATGTTTCAATAATTGTTTCATGACCCAAAGTTTTTTTTAAATTGAATATGTATGCCTAGCAGTTATTGCATAAAAGTAATAAAAATGGCACATGGTAACTGAATAAAATAATACTGGCCGTTTATATTACATTCATGTGATCACAGAATTGGGCGTTAACAAAGTGTTTTTAAACCGAGACAAAAATTCCTTTATTATCCTTCTGTCCAAAAAAAGTGTTTCAGAGGATTAAAATCTAGAAAAATATGCAGGGTACGTTTCATTATATAAAATAAGTTTTCTTTTAATAACCAAGAGAAATAGATTCAAACATGACATAAGCATTCTCGACGTTAAAAATGACTTCTTTCGCGCGCATATAAAGTTAAGTTCAAATTGTACTCTGCCAGGTTTGAATTACTACGTCGCCGTATTCAATACAGATTATTATAGAACGTTTGGAGGAAAAGCTCTTCGCTTACTTTCCAAACCACTTTTTATTTTTAGGAACAACAAGACATACAACGATCATTACAGAGAAGTATAATATTTACTGAAACGTACACTAGGTAATTGTTTTTCTAAGAAGACATGGATTTGCTATCATCAAAATTAATGCAGGATATGCTTGTTGGAATGGAAATACCTAATGTAAAAAAAATCGATTTTCTGAATGGTAAAAACCTAATGTGACACTGCGTAGTAACTTAACGTACCTAAGTTATAAAACAAACCACTTCTTAACTGTTTATCGATCAATATTTCTGGCACATTCAGTTAAGCATCTTTCAATCTTGCTCAGTGAGAAAAGACTGAACGAATTGTTTGGTTTCATTATGATCCTAACAGAGAAGCGACATTCTACAGCATATTTGTTGGTAGTTCTCAATGCTTTATATATAAAAAAAATATGTGTAATTTATTGCACTATCAAAACTTAATATCCCTAGTGGTATTCTTTCTAAAACTGAGTGATACCGTACTAATACCGTACCGAAAAGTGTTTGTAGAATGTTTATCTATCGGTTGTTTCTGTTTTTTTTCTCGATTTTTTATTATAAAACGCAACATCCAAAGTAATTTCAAGCACGGCCAAGTAAAAAAGCTAGTTTTATGAGACAACACAAAGGAGTAATTTCAGGTAAAGTGTTATGAACCTCATGAAGCATAGTTTGAAGTTTTTCTTATTCACCTAAAAATTGGACTACGACAAAGATTATTTTCATTGTGCTTTAAAACAATGGATAGAATTGAAATATACAGTGTTCAACCTCTTAAAACAGCATGATAAAACAATACATACAGTTTGTTTATTCTTTTTTTATGATATGTATAAAACATTTATGTGTCTTCTTTCAATCGTTCAGAGGTCGTCAATCCTTGGAGACCATATGTTTGTTGTTATCCTACAAGATTAAGTTCCCTAATAACTTCTTCCTCTTAAGAGGAAACCATGAATGCGCCAGTATTAACAGGTAAGTTAATGGGTTCTAGTAATACAGTAAAAGTGAATTTTTATATATTTTTTATTCCTGAATATGGAAAACATGAACTTTAAGAAGACATTTTACAACTCATATTCTTGAACAATAAATGCTTGTAAGGTATACTATTTATTTATCTATTTGTTCATTATGTGGTTATGAAGAATATAAAATGGAAATATTTTAGCTTTAAAGTTTAAAAATGGGTCACATAACCGCTAATAATACCCAGGTTTTTACTAACAGTAGCTATAGTTTTAAAGTTAACCTTATTAAAAGGTTAAAATTTAAGGTACTTGTGTAAATATAATTAAAATACTCAAAAGATCAACATTTTTACTTCACATTTAAAAACATTATTCTAATAGCGATAAACAGTGTTAAAATAGGCATTCTAGATGTTTAAACATCTAATCACGTCACCCTCAGGAATGTGAAAACAAAATCTGTGACCAATTAGTTTACACACTGAATTTAAAGATGATCACGCTATCTGCATACTTCCCGACTTTCCAACCTTTCATCCCTATTTAAGATACGACAATTATTTTTAGTATGTTTAATTATTTCTATATTTTCTCTAATATTTCTAGCCGTCATATCATTCGGTTGAACCAAAATAACAGTTTCCCCCACTCAATTACATGATCAGTATGACTTTCATGTTCAGCTAGTGCAGGCCCGGCATGGCCAGGTGGTTAAAGCACTCGACTCGCAATCTTAGGGTCACGAGTTCGAATCCCTGTCAC